CGGCCCAGGTCCCCCGTGGCCCGGGCCTCGTCCGCCTGAGGGTCGCATTGAGCTGGGCAATCGCCACGGCGAGAGCGCCGGCCGGCAGCCGCGGGGCCCAAGGCCCCCGCGTGGACAATGGCTGCAGGTGGCAACAAGGGGAGTGCCAAGAGACCGGGAGGTTGCGACGTGGGGCCCCCGCTCTCCGGCGAGGATGATATGGGAAATCTGCGGGCATGCAAAGGGGCACCGGCCGGGCGCGGTCTCAACGCAGAGGGCCGGGTTGCTCCCCAGGGGAGTCCGCCGTGGCATGGCAGGTCGGCGCTGAGTATCCACCCCAACCACGAGCGCCAGTCGTCCCCCCAAGCCGAACAAGAAAGACACAGGCGGCCTCAAGGGAGCGCGCCTGAAGGAGGCCAGGCAGGCAGGCAGGGCAGGCCAAGAGAGAAAAAGGGAATGCCCGGCCCCGCCAGTGGGGACAGAGTGCCACCGGCCCCGTGGGAGATCTCCTAGTGGACCGCCGGAGAGGGAGCGGGCGCCCAGCGCCGAGAGATAAAGAGAAGAGAGCCCGCCCGGACGGGCCGCAGAGGGGGGCCCCTTACTGGCAGCCGCCGAGGTGCCGGGCGGGCACCCGAGAGGCGAGAGAGAGAGACGCCGAGGCCTATTGCAAACCCATCGACATCAGGTCGGGCGAGAGGACCCGCTGGATTTAAGCATATCACTAAGCGGAGGAAAGGAAACTAACCAAGATTCCCCCAGTAGCGGCTAGCGAAGCGGGAAGAGCCCAGCAACGAATCTCCGGGCACCCAGGGGGCCCGTGGGAATTGTGGCGTAAGGAAGTCCGGTCCGGCGGTCGCAGCGACGCCGAAGTCCTTCTGATCGAGGCCCCCTCCGTTCCGTGGCGGGTGTCAGGCCCCTGCGGGTGCCGTCCGGCCGGTGACCAGGGCTTCGGGTTGTTTTGTAGCGCAGCCCAAAGGCGGATGGTAAATTCCATCCAAGGCTAAATACCGGCACGAGACCGATAGAGCACAAGTACCGTGAGGGAAAGTTGAAAAGCACTCTGAAGAGAGAGTTCAAGAGTACATGAAGCCGTCAAGAAGGAGGAGGGCCGCACAGATCGGGCCCGGGAGATTCAGCGCAGCCAGCTAGCGCAGTGCCCGCCGCGGCCCTGCTCCCCCTCGCCGGGGGGCGGGCCCGTGGGCGCCTCCCCGTCCGGCCGCGTGCACTTCTCCCGGGCGCGGCGCCTGCGACCGGCTGGGCATCCGGGCGGTTGGGGTTCCTCCGGCCACCCTGGTCCTGCGACAGGGGGGGGGGGCTGGTCGGAGAGCCTAGAAACCGGCAATGGTCGCGCTGGCCGCCCAGCCGAGGAAGGGGCGACGGGCTGCGCCCGCCAGCGCCCCGCGGCCTCCCGCAGCGGCAGCGCCCGGCCCGCCGGAGCGCCCTGCCGGTCGCAACCGTCCCCGGTGGCGGCGGCGGTCCCCGGCCAGGTTGGTGTCGGCCGCCCCGAGGCGCCCTGGGTCCGCAGGCGATTGTCGCAAGCCTTACTGCCCCGTCTTGAAACACGGGCCAAGGAGTCTATTGGGCCCGCGAGTCCGGGTGCTGCCAGTCGAAGCCCCGAGGCGCAACGAGAGTGAAGGCCGGCCAGGGCCCGGCCGAGGCGGGATCCGGCCGCGCGGTGACCGGCGCACCGCCGCCCTGCCGCCGGTCCCCTGTGGCTGCGGCGGAGGAAGAGCAGGCCAGCTTACCAGGAATGGTTATTGTGCATCGGCTTTGTTGTGTAAATCGGGCCAGTTTATCCACAGGCTTAGCACAGCTTATTCAGAAGGGGAAGCAATTGATCTCTTAACAAAAGACTAACTCCATCAGAATCAACAGGCCTATGTGCATCACTAAGTCTAGCACTGTCAGGCAGTGATTTCTACATCACAGATTTGTCAATAATTGGAATAGACAATAAACTTAATGGAAAACATTATAGATGCAACAATCACAGGACTTCGAAATCAATCTAAAAAGTGAAATAAGAAAAGTCGACTAATGTTGGTATGGGTAACGTGGCAAACTGAAGGAAAAAATCCTTATCCATGTAAACGGTCGTACAAATCCATCCCCACTCCCCCCAATTGTTGACATATCAATGGGCTGGGGTCCCAGCTGTTGATAAACAGCTCTAATGACTCAACCACAAGCCACAATTGAGTGTAATCCTTAAAGCTCTCTATTGTTAAAAAACATCACCCGGGAGTGGCGTTCATCAAACCACAAGCCATTTAGCTAGTGACTCCCTATCGTTGCCCGCTTTACTCTGAAGCGGGTAAGGAGCTTATCGTTTATGTATCGTTTCCCACTTCAGTTTCTATTTTGACTTGGTGCCTTACTGGTGTGACGTTAAAAATGTTAGTAGCACTGGAGAGAGTTACTCCCGGTCACTTTTGCTTGAGTAGCCGTGGCGTTTGGTTGGAAAAGAGAAAATCTGTCTGTTTTGCCAAAGCTATTTTATTAGTTATGCCCCGCGCCAATTCTAAGCGGCGGGCTCCTTCTAGGCCGACGGATGGAGCGAAGCGTTCTCGAGGGCGGCCTCGCAAGTCTTCCCGTCAAGATGCGTCGGTGGTCGCGGTCCTTGCAGGGTCTAGTGCACCGCAGCTTGCATCGCCCGGTCCAGATACCACTATTATACCGTTGGCTACGGTCGGAATGATTCCAGAGAGTGCAAGTGTTGAGTCTACCCATGCAACGCCAGCGCCCGCTACCATTAGTCGGCCTGGAGGGAGTTCGGCGCAAACTTTGGAGCCGAGTAAGTCCCCTGCTGCTACTCCTTTTGAATTAGCACCGCAACCTTCCAGTTTCACGCCCGTGGTGTCAATTGTCAATTACCTCCTCTTCCGATTCGAATATTGCATTAACTAACGTCTGTGACGATCTCAGGGTTGCGATTCCTCAACATCTAAAAGACAAATTTGGAGGGTGGAGTACGTAAAATTCGGAACCTTGTTGATCTCGTCGCGCGGCACGGGCTTGAATAATTCCTTTGACGAGACACTTTTTACAATCGGGTCCAATGAGTCCCCACTTTGGCAGATTCATCCCCATAAGCAGGCTCTGCGTATTACGTCTATCGAGCAGTGGACGTCAGCATTTCTAG